GACTTGGCTGATGAGAGACACCTTCATGAGCATAAAGACTTGGCTGACGAGAGACACCTTTATGAGCATAAAGATTTGGCACATAATGGAGACCGTGATGGGGAAAAAGATTTGGCCGATTATGGAGACTATCATCGTCACCATCGTAGACACCATCATAGACACCATCATAATTGGGATGACTATAAACACCTTCATGAGAATAAAGGTTTGGCTGATGAGAGAAAACTTCATGAGCATAAAGATTTGGCAGAAAATGGAGTCCATGATGGGGAAAAAGATTTGGCCGATTACGGAGACTATCATCGTCACCATCATAGACACCATCAAAGACACGATCATGATTGGGATGATGACAAACACCTTCATGAGAAGAAAGATTTGGCTGATGAGAGACACATTCATGAGCATAAAGATTTGACAGATAATGAGAAACGTTATGGGAAAAAAGATTTGGCAGATTATGGACACTATCATCATCACCATCACAGACACGATCATGATTGGGATGATGATAAACACCTTCATGAGAAGAAAAATTTGGCTGATGTGAGACACCTTCATGAGCATAAAGATTTGGCTGATAATAAACACCTTCATGAACATAAAGATTTAGCTGATGAGAGAAACCTTCATGAGAATAAAGACCTTGCTGATAATAAACACCTTCATGAGAATAAAGGTTTGGCTCATGAGGGACACCTTCATGAGCATAAAGGTTTGGAGGATAATAAACACCTTTATGACCATAAATATTTGGCGGACGATAGACAACTTCATGATAAGAAAAATTTGGCTGACGAGAAACACCTTCATGAGCATAAAGATTTGGTTTATGTTGGATACCATCATGGAGACCAACAAGACGTGGAGAAGAATGAACATAAAGATGGAGACCATGAAGTTTATGATGACAACAAAAAAAATGAAAACCATGTGGACATTTCCACCAGGATTCTTACCACTAATAATGGATCAGACGAATTGCTGCTGGAAGGAGACATGATGATTCCCAAAACCAGAAATGCCATGAAGTGCTTCTACAACAGCTGCCTGTGGAGAAAATCCTCCAACGGCTTGGTGATGGTCCCCTACATCATAGGCAATGAGTTTGCCGGCTATGAAAAGCAGACGATCCTGGGTGCCTTGATGGCATTCGCTGCCCACACCTGTATTCGCTTTGTCCCTCGTACCAATGAAAAAGACTTCATCATGATTCATAGCAAAGGCGGATGTTACTCTGCACTGGGCAGAACAGGAGGAATGCAGGAACTTTCGCTCAACAAGGGGGGCTGCATCTATGGTGGAATCGCCCAGCATGAGCTAAATCATGCTCTGGGCTTCCAGCATGAGCAGACCAGAAGCGACCGGGACAGCTACGTCAGGATCAACTGGCAGAACATCATACCGGCAAGTGCCTACAACTTCTTCAAACATGACACCAACAACCTGAACACACCTTATGACTACAGCTCCATCATGCACTATGGAAGAGATGCCTTCTCCATTGCCTACGGAAGGGACAGCATTACCCCCATCCCCAACCCCAACGCCCAGATTGGTCAGAGGAATGGATTGTCTTACTGGGACATCAGAAGAATCAACATACTCTACAACTGCTAACTGATGCTGATTGATGCGGAATACAAAATGCTGTTCTAAATGTTGAGGTGGCAGAATATATCACCTCACAAGCTTAAACTATATTCAATAAAGATGCTGCAAAATTATATTTGTCTCCTTATTCTTCTGTATTTGTGTTCAGCAAACACCGCACCTACAACAAGACAATGGTATGGTACTCAAACTAGGTTTACTGACAAAACGGTAAACTTGTTGAAGTGAACACTTTATAAAATTTAGCTTATAGGCTATTTAGGAAATGTAGGTCTACACAACAGAACAACCTTTTACTAAGCCAACTACTCAAATTTATGTGCAATTTTATTAAAAAGACCTTACAGTCATTGAACATGCAACTCTGAGAAACAATGCTAATTAGCATAAATAGTAGCTCATGCTAGTTAGCTTGACTTTATGCTCTTTATCCACACCGGCTTAAAAACACGTCATATGGAAACATGCTGTTCTAATTTAAAGGTTAACCCTCATGTCGTGTTCATTTCGTGTTAAACAATCTTGTGTTCCCGGTCAGAAATGACCATTCTACTAATTTCACCATAAAAGACTGTATTAATAAACATAAATTTTCACATGCCCACTTCTTATATATACACTCTGTGTTTATATATTTTATAAGTCCAAATAAGTTACAAGTCCAAATCTTCACTAAACATAGATAATCCATTAAGACATCTGGATCTTCCTGAATTTTAAGGAGATAAGTAAAATTCATGGTGTCTGATTCAAAACAAGACACAAGAGTGTGTTAGTTTACTGAAGTCCATTAGCATCTCCTCTGTCAATCAGAGCTGTTGGCGGCTCTTTGCCTCGGGCTCTGCTGGATGAAAGACTAATGGTGGAGGACACAGTTGTCCCACAGGCTCTGGACAGCAGCCCATAGTACACTCTGCTGATGTCATTTACTTGGAGCCAGACTTTCTGTGAACTTGCTGATGTTAAAGTGGAGAAAAAAAGGGAATGTAGCTCATTGAAGGAACTCATGAACATTGACTGGATAAAATACATTTGAGAAGTCAAAATGTTTTATTTATTTTATTTTTTTAAATAAAGACCTAGTTTTTTGTTTTTTTTAAGGAACGCAGGCTAGATCGTCCATCCATCCATCCATTATCTTTACCCGCTTATTCCATTTTGGGTCACGGGGGTCGCTGGTGCCCATGTCCAGCAATCACTGTGTGAGGGGCGGGGTACACCCTGGACGGGTCGCAAGTCCATCACAGGGACACATAGAGACAAACGAGACAAACAACCATTCACTCTCTCACTCACACCTAGGGACAATTTAGAGTTACCAATCAGCCTAACATGCATGTTTTTGGTCTGTGGGAGGAAACCAGAGTACACGGAGAAAACCCACGCATGCACGGAGAGAACATACAAACTCCACCCAGAAAGGCCCCTGGACCAGGGTTTGAACCAGGGACCTGCTTGCTGAGAGGCAGCAACTCTAACAGTTGCGCCACCGTGCTGGCTAGATCATTTTATCTTGAAAAATAACAGAATAGTCCCTCGATACTTCGCGGTTCGACATTCGCAGACTCACTTTTTCACGTTTTCAACATAAGAATGTACACAACACACGATTGGTTGATTGATGGAAGGCGACCAACATTATGCATTATGCTCTGTATCCCGGGTGCTGATTGGCTCAGTAACCGTAACATCAGTCTGTCTGGTCTGTTTGCTGTGCTCTTTTGTGAAGCCAACAGTGCTTCCGGACACTGCTTTCTGCTGAAATTCCAAGAGTAGCAATGGAGGGAGCAAACACTAGCGGAGAAACTGATGTAGTAATAGTTTTGAAACGCAATGTCAGAAGTAACGGTCTATTAAACTCACAGAACTGGCAAGAGAAACGCAAATAATTCTGAAGCTGAACTCATCTTTCAAGTTTAGTAGTATCTTTTCTGGTGAGTACCCATTAAAAATATTGCAGTACTGTAGACGTATGTTGTTAAAATTACATAGGTTTAAGAGTTTAAAACATTGTTAAGAACATTGCAAGGGTGTGGGAAGGGTTTATAAAGCCCAAAATATATAGTAAAATAAATATACCATCCCTACTTTGCAGATTTTCACCTACCACAGGGATGTCTGGAACATAACCCCCGCAATAAGTGAGGAACTACGGTATACTCTTTAGTCAAATGTTAAAAATAGTTATCTCACAATGTGTTGTCACTCAGAATATGTGCTGGGGATGACTCTCAGCTGCTACAGCAAGTTTTAAGTACATTTTGTAAATATTCAGACATATGGCCATTTCTGCATTTGCTACAAGAGATTAGCTGTGGCGGCCATCTTAAATACGGTTGATTCCAAAAGTCAATCGGTTGTAGTAGTGTAGTTATTAAAAAGTTACCTGAATCAAAAATTACTATGGCATTTTTTTTTTGTTTCAACCTTAAGCAATTCACCTGTACCAGGGGTCTGCAACCTGCGGCTCTGGAGCCACATGCGGTTCTTTGGTCCCTCTGCAGCGGCTCTTTCAAGGTTTGACCAAAACTGAACTGGCTGTTATACAAACAACAACAAAAACGACTAGTTTTAGCAGTTTTCCTGTCATTTCTTTTGCAAATATGTGAATATTGGAACAAGCACAAGGAGTAAAACTTTAACTTTATGCTTTATTTCTATACCCAATTCATTTTTCCACAATTAAAAAATTACCTAGGTTTGCATACTTCATAATTTTTTATTAATTTAAAAAAACCTCTCTTTAAAATAATCTGGTCTTTTCATTTGTCTTAAATTGTAAAAATATAAATTATTAGTTATTTTATTTTTTATAAAAGGCCACAAAAGCCCCTTACACCAAACCTAAAGTAGCCCATGGGCCACCAGTTGATAACCACAGTTGTAGCATGTTATTGTGGCTCTGAACACTTTTAATTTAGTGAACAAAGGCATAAAATGGCTCTTTTTGATTAAAATTAAAATAAAAAATAAAATTAAAATTACTGTAATATATGTCATAACACCAAAACAGTTCATTCGGATGCATCTGACTTTATTAAAGCACATTAGCTGTTTGACAGTCACTGGTTCACAGAAGTAATGATTATGATAATGATTCTTATTATGACAATTATATATCTCTTGTAATGAGATTCCAGAGTGAACAGCTGTGATCCCCCCACTCTGTAAGTCAGCCCCCCACCCCGACTGAACACGAGTTGAACTGTATTTAGATGTGAGGGCTAACACGTACAATAATAATATTATTATTATTATTAATATTATTAGTATTATTATTACTATATCACCAGTCTCTGTTAGCAAAACATCTCCCAAAGCACTGGACAAACTCTGAGGTAATTAATGGATGAACTTCTGGAGTCGACTCAGTTCAGCATGGCCGCCACTGCTAATGAAACTTAGAAAACAAATATGGCTTTAACTCAGCTGGATTTAGAAAAAGTTAAAAGTTTTGTGTGGTAGTAGATGAGGGTAATTCCCAACACATACTCACAGTGTTACATGATAAGCAAGATATTAGCCCAAGACTTTGGCATTAACAGATTGTATCAACCCTGTCTGTTAGCAAAAATATCTCATGAGCCACTGTGCACATTTAATTGAAACGTCCAGAAAGTATCCATCAGATATGAATCGACAATTGAGCAACTTGTGGCGTCATCTCAATTCAAGATGGTCGCCACAACCATTTTCGGACCATGAGTGAGTACTTTTTTTCAGAAAGTGAGCTAAAATTTGGTGTGGTAGTAGCTGAAAGTCTTTCCAACTATTCTCTGAGGACTAAGGTTATTTAGAACGCCCAACAGCTCCTTCTTTTGTCGGCATAAAATGGTCTTTGTTTTGAATTTGGCAATTAGCAGCAGGTATGAATCCACACAATGTGTTAGGCCTTTAATAGTGTGAACGTTTATACAGCGTTCACACTGTGGTCCATTTTTCTTCTGTACTTTTTTCAGCATCTTTCTTATTCCACAATTTTTGTGCCATTTCAACAAATTAGATAGATATCAAAATATTCAGCTCGTTCAGGACAATCCTGCTGTGACTGTTGGTATTGGTGCAACTTTAGCTTTTTGAAATATTTAGCCTTTTCTGTCATTTCTTTCCTCATAGAAAATGAATTGATCTCATTTTACATCCTTCAGATCTTTAGATCTGTTTACCTTTTACTGCTCCTTTCACATTTTGTTCTGCTTCAGCTTCTTTGCTTCCTTGTGCAAATTTAAACTTTGTTCAGCTGTTTTGAGCTCCTTTTAGATTTTTTTTTTCTGCTTCTTCTAACTTCTTTCTGGTATTTTCAGCTTGTTCTACATTTTTCAAAGTTTTAGCATTTTTTTTTAGCCAATTTCAGCTGTTTTCAGATTAATTAGTTTTTCCAAGCAATTTCTATTAGTTTCAGCCTAAATAACTTCTTTCTACTAATTTCAGTTTATTAAGCTCCTTTCAGTTGTTTTCTTTTAGTTTCAGGTTTTTCTGCTATTTGAGTCAGTTTCTTTATTCGTCATTTGCAAATTGTGTACATTACACATTTCAGCTACTATTTAATGTTTTTATACCAACTGTAGCATTTTCAGCTAATTCCACATTTCTTTAGCTCATTTCAGCTCCTTCCACTTCCTTTTGGTAGTTTAAGCTTCTTTCTGCCATTTCAGCTTCTTAGGCAATTTCCTAATTTTTGGGCTCATTTCTGCTCATTTAAACCTAATTCAGCAAATGTGTTCTTTCTGCTTTCTTCTGCTAACTTAGACTTGTTCTTCAGCATGTTTTTAACTTATTTCAGCAAGTTCTTCAGCAATAAGCATTCACACTACATTTTGGCAGGAAATGCAATTTCTCTAGTTATGATTATTTTTAAATCCATATGTGCACAACTCTTCTCAACTAGTCAAGTCTGATTGTTTTTAAACTTTGGGAGTACAGCCTTAAAATGGCGCCACACCGAAGCCGAACACAAACACATGCAGTTATTAACGATATAATAAAGATGTGGGAACGGATGATCGCAGCTTTGTTTGCAGCGTCCTTCTGCACACAGGCCCAGCTGAATCGTCTTCTGTCCCATCTTAACAACGGCTCCTAACAAGTCTTCTGAGACCAATCAGCTGCTGTCTATTTGTGGCTCATCGTAATGCGTGTGCCACATCACATTAGTCCTCACGTGTGAACCATAATTTCACTTGGTAATTCCGAAGCGTCTCGCTGCCTATACATATTCATGAGGAGCCTATAAGTGGCAGATTGAGATGTCCTTCTAGTGTCCGTGACAGCAGGTTATTAATATTGAAAACCTAAGTCAACATTATAGCTAGATGGAGAGACACTCAGGTCATTCTCCGACACATTCTTCACACTCCGTGTCCTCCAGACAGTTGGACAAATCATTATTTTGCCTCGATTGTTCAGAAATATACAAGATGGTACACGTCTATTAAATGAACAAACACGAAATAAAACTGAAGCAATTCCCCGTTTTTTTTCCACCAGTTTTTACTTAATTCTGTTGATTAAAATTCTATGTGCTCGGAGTTAAAAGAGCCCCCAAACCCCAGGTTATTACAAGGAACAGCAACTTCTGGATCATTTCAATTCTCCAGCGTCTAAATTGATGCGCCTGCTGTTCCTTGTGGCTAGTTTTGAGGTCTTCCTCTGGAGCTCGGAGCAGCTCAGAACCGGAGCTTTGTCAGTGTCTGCTGCGTTTGATACGATGCAGGCTGCAGGCGGATCGTCACAGGAGCTGAGAGGAGGTCGCCGAGGTCCTCCTGCTTGTGGCGATGCCCAAGGGCCATGAACGCAGCGGGGAGCCCGGGTGCCGGTGAGGTCTTGCACAGCCTTGCTTTGCTTCATGAAAGCCTAATGAGAGGGGGGTGGTGGGTCTGAAACTGTGCTGTAAGACGCCCACAATTCTGCAGCACCAGAGCAGGGAGACGATGGAGGCTGCACACACTCGCTTCACAGAGAGGCAGCAAAGACAAAGGAACAGGAGTGCGTGGATTTATTGCTGTCAGAAAAGAACGACAAAGTCTTGGTGCAGAATTGTTAATAAATAAAGTGTTTACAGCAACCGGCTCACAAACAGACAGTAAGCCAGAAAAAAAGGGTGCAGGGCCGCCTGTCTGCAAGATAAAAACTAAACACAGGAACCCAAGTGGAACATTTATATTGGCATGATCAAATATAAATCTGAGATTACTGTGTGCACATAAAAGACATTTAGTTTTAAATGTAAGAAGTTCAGAAATGCGGTGCACTTATCTAACTTTCCACATTCATTGAAATATAAAATATTAGAAAATTACAGTATCTAAATCTAAAGACCCTTTCCTTTCAAATATCTTATGACGACTTGTTAAATAACATATAAAAACGTACATTCATCCCAGACATTGTTTTTTTTTTTTAAATGAAGTATAAACCATTAACATTATGTGCCAAGAAAATAAAACAGCAGCTTCTGAGTGATTATCTAAACTGTACATAAATTATTATTACAAAATGTTTGTTTGCAAAAAGCAGTAAAAGCTGCTCCAACATTGTACAAGTGGTTCATAAAATAATCTCTGCAGGCTCCTCAGTTGGTTGAGGAGTGCTGGCTGATCCGTAGCGTGCACCACTGACAGCGAACACAGGTTTGAGCCGACTGGACGGCCTGAAACCGACAGAAAACAGTTTCTGCAGAGCTCGGACAGTTTCACCTCCTTCCACAGAGAACTCCCTCACACCACAGAGGTCCAGCGCGTGAAGCGTCTTCCTGGTTTCTATGAGACCCTTTTCTTCTTGCTGCTTTTTAGCTCGCTGTACTGAACCTGCAGGAAAACAACAAAATAATTATTAGTTAAGTACAAAAACATTAGAGCCGGTGTTCTCAAACTTTCTGGATTCAGGGACCCCCTCATAACATCATGTTTATTAAATAATTTTATTCAGTGTGTCTCTTTAATGCAATGGAAATATTTGTGTAACATAAATACTTAAGATCTGTGTTAATACATTTTTTATACTTTAAAACATGGGGTATTTTTCATTCAAGACACATTTAATAAAAAAATAATAATTTTAACTTCCAAAAATTAGAGTTTTGAGAAAATTAACAGCATCAAAAACCACTTTAAAACTTTACCTGTTCACACAATGAACATAAATGTACAGTGGTCCCTCGATACTTCACGATTCAGCTTTCAGACTCGCTCTTTTGTGGTTTTTCAAAATAAGAGTGGACATGACACACAACTGGCTGATTGATGGATGAGCCGCACGAACGGCCTGCAATTTTTATTTAAAATAAATTATTTTAAATAATGTAGCACCTGCTGCACGTTTGTGCAGCCCACAGGTGCACGGAGAAGCTTCCTCCTGCAGAATGTCCATCTCCGCTCTGCAGCGGAGTGGGCGTGGCCGAGAGCGCTGGCAGAGAGCGCAGAGATCATGACATGCTGTGCTCTTTTAGAGCAATTAGAGTTTAGAAACATCGATTAGAATATTGCAAGAGTGAAGGGTTTAAAACACCTTTATATAAAGAACTATATATATATATATATATATATATATATATATATATATATATATATATATATATATATGTATATATATATATATATATATATATATATGTATATATAATTAAAATAAACTACTACTTACTACTACTACTTGTACTACTATTCCTACTTGCAGTTTTTCACTTATCATGGGGGGAGCAGAGAATGGAAACCCCCACGATAAACGAGGGGCCACTGTATCTCCACTTCTTCAAGTTATGACATAAAAGTGAACAGAATCAGAACAGCAGTAGTCAGACCAAGTAACAGGGCTTCATTTGTCAACTGATCGATGCTGGAACACAAAGAGCAGGTGGGTAAATGGTAAATGGTAAATGGACTGTACTTATATAGAGCCTTTCTTTCTTATTTCAAGATACTCAAAGTGCTTTACACTAGAATCTGTGTCCTCATTTACCCATTCATACAGCACTCTACTAGATCTCTACAAAGCTAACTGAACAAATCATTCTAATGACACTAATCAGAGCTTTATCACATTCATGTGCCGATGGGACACACATCAGAGGCAACGAGGGGTTCAGTGTCTTGCCCAGGGACACTTCAGCATGTGACTGCTGGTGGATTCAAACCCCCAACTCTCGCATTGGAGGACGACTGCTCTAACCACTCAGCCACAGCTGGGTGGGGGTGTGTGTATGTGTGTGGGGGGTCCGGGACCCAGAAACATTTGAATAAAGTAAATGTGATTTCCTGCATTTTTATGCATTTTACAGATTGTTAAACATCTACATGCTTGTAAAAATATAAAAATAAAACAAAATTTTGGGGACCCCCAGGAGTCCGGGGACCCCAGTTTGAGGACCAGTGCATTAGAGAACAGATTCAAAGCTTTTGGATCTTATGAACGCAGGAGGTGAAAGCATCCGTGCAAGTTCAGTCTGAACCTGAGGGGAAATTTTACAGAAGCAGGAAAATTCTTTATAATTCTAATTTGAACTCTTTTTAATTCTAAGACCCCAGGAGTTTATATTCAGATGATATTTTTGTGTTGAATGCACAAAACTACACGCGTTCATTTCTTCCTGTTAGGGCTCTAAACGAGGAGAACATGCCTAACGCGCGACATGTCCATCACTGTCACACACGCAGAGACTGGAGCATCTCTCTGCTTCAGAGTGTCTGTTTCACTGAACCGTGTGACCCGCGGGCTTCGAGGACGGAGACAAATGGGGTCTAATAACTCAGAGGGACATCAGGGTGAGGAGGACGAGTGACGATGGATAAAAGAGAGCAATGTGACAGAAAGCAGACAGGATGAAGTTCGAGGCAAACACCAGACAGTAAATAAAGAGCTGAGTGTTTTGAGCCGTGAACGCAGGACTTTGGAGAACTCATCGCTCTTGTAGATGAAGTGTGTGTTTGTGACGGAGACACCAGCAGTGGCAGACCTCCACCGGGGATGTATCATGACCAAAACACAGCTAAGATTACATGGGGGGGTGCTGCATAATTATAGAGACAGAGCTAATTATACAGAGGAGAGTGAAGAAAGCCTGGGAGTTGTTGTGGTGGGAGGCAGAGCCGGCAGGCTCTGGGATTTTGGGCTTCCTGACCGGCTGATCCTGCAGAGCTTACCTTCTGCACATCTGACGGCACCCTGGAGAGGAAATCAAGCACTTCATTGTTGTCGATGCTGTACGGGTTCCGCAACTTCTTGGTGAATTTATTGATACCTAAAACAGAAATTCACACCAACGTATCATTAAGACTTGTTTGCTCTTTTGTTTCCACACAAACACGTGGCTTCAGGAGACTCACGCCGTCCAGGAAACACCGTTCTCAGCACCACTACACACATGCAGACCTACTGGTTTGACTTCTAGCTTTGCGCTGGCAGATTTGCAACATTTCAACAATCAAATGACAGCAAAATATTTTAGACTTTTAACATGAGGACATTTTAAAAGAAAGAGAGGAGCAGGAAACCAGCTGAAAGAAGGTACTCTTGTGAATTGGTTTGAATTAACAAAAATTAACAAAAAAAGACATTAGTACTTTTATTATTGTGGTTCTTAAGCTGCTTGTCTAAATGAAACATTAAAAAAGACACAAACAGCAGATCTGAATTGAAACTCACCCCATATGAGGATTACGTAGCGGACAGGGATGAAGTACGTGAGAACTGCAGCGACGACGAAGATCAGCAGAGCCAGAGCAGACAGGAACGGCACCGACCAGTTAAATGTGCTGACAAATAAAACAAGACAATCGTGTGCTGTTCAACTACAGCCGGCTGATCAAACAGTATACATCACTTCCAAGAGATGAATGTGAAAAAATAAAAAATAAATTCATACAGTGACTGTTTTTAAAAAAAAAAATAATCCAAAAATATTAAAAGGACCACAACACAGTGAGTTTCTTACTTTTTGATCCTCTCACCAAAGCAGGCGATGTCGTCCAGCAGGTTTTGAACGGTGATGATTATGTCCTGGACCATGTGAATTTTGTCGATGAGTCCTTTCCTCTCCATCTCCTGAGGCAGAAAAAACAAAACAAAAACAACAAACACTATAATCATGACTGGACTGCTAAACGATGCTGCGACTGCTACTTTTAATCATTTTTAAAAACTAATTATAGTGTGAACACTTGTGAAGCATTCACTCTTATGATCCATTTTACTTCTGTACATTTTTCAGCATCTTTCTCGTTCCATAATTTTTGTGCTATTTAAACAATTCATAAATCAAAACATTCAGCTCGTTCAGGAGAACGGTGCTGCATGACTGTTGGTATTGGTGCAGCTTTAGCTTTTTGAAATATTTAGCCTTTTCTGCCATTTTTTTCTCAAAGAAAATGAACTGAGTTCATTTTACATCCTTCAAAAATCTTTAGCTCTGTTTACAACCTTTTACCGTTTCTTTCACATTTTGTTCTGGTTCAGCTTCTTTCAGCTTCCTTCTGCAAATTTTAACTTTTCTTCAGCTATTTCAGCTGGTTTTTTTCAGCTGTTTTGTGCTCCTTTCAGATTTTTTCCACTAACTACAACAATTTTTTGCTTTTTAACTTCTTTCTGCTAATTTCAGCTTGTTATGTTCTTTTTAGCTTATTTATGCGTTTCAGCATTTTTTTAACCATTTTTCATTCAACCTTTATTTAGACAGGTTAATCCCATTGAGCCTCTTCAGCTACTATTTAGCTATTTTTAGCTTTTTCAGCTAATTCCACATTTTGTACACTCATTTCAACTTTTTTCAGACTAAGTCACCAAAAGTGTTCTCTCTCCACTTCCCTCTGTTAATTTAAGCTTCATTATGCTTTTTAGCTGCTTTTCAGCTGTTTTTTCACCTAATTTCAGCTTTATTCATATAATTTCTGCTTTCTTGTGCTCATTTCTGCTTCTTTCAGCCTAATTGGACAAGCATGTTTTCTTCTGCTAATTTAAACATTTCTACCCTTTCAGCTAGTGTTTAGCATTTTTAGCTATTTTCAGCTGCTTTTAGATAAATTCAAGTTTTTCGTGGTAATTTCTGCTACTTTCAGCCTAATTAACTTATTTCAGCTAAATTCAGCTTGTTATTCTCCTTTCAGCTTATTTCTGCTTTTCTGCTATTTCAGCTATTATTTAGCTGTTTTGTGATAAATTTAGCCTTTTTAGCTAATGTCACATTTTTTGGAGCTTATTTAATCTCTTTCCACTTTCTTCTGGCAATTTAAGCTTCTTTCTGCCTTTTCAGATACTTTTTTTTTGGTTATTTTCAGCTTTTTGAGCCAATTTCCTAAATTTTGTGCTAATTTCTGCTCATTTAAACCTAATTCAGCAAATATGTCTTATTTCTTATTTCTTTTGCTAACTTAGACTTGTTCTTCCATTCATCTACATTTCAGCATGTTTTTGGCTAATTTCAGCTGTTTTTCCAGCAAGTTCTTCAGTAATAAGCATCCACACTGCATTTTCACAAGAAATGTAATTTCTCTAGTTATGATTATTTTATTAACAGTAATTTAAAGGAAGTTTATACATGTATGCGTCTCCTTCCTAAAAGCCACATTAATGTCATTAAATGTTCCCAAGAACCCAGGTTTGATCTGTGGTCACAGGTTTAGAGGCGAGAGCTCCTCAGAGCGGGGCTGGACGCTGCATTATGAAAAGAATATTGTGAAGAGCCCCCCCCCCCCCCCCTCACAGGGAATAATGGGTTTAATGTAAACAGAGGAGACCAGGCTCTCAGGAGACAGAAACATGTCCACATCAAACACACAGAGACTAACGGGGACCAGCAGAGGTGTTCTGGAAAAGATGTTCCAGATGCAGAAACTCAAGAAGAAAAAAACACATGTAAAGCAAAGTTTCACACTGAAAGCCTTCAATCATTTTGGGGTCACGTTCCCACTGAAGCTGCCATGAGAACGGCTGTGAACTGGACCTGCGCAGCCTTTCAGAACGTCGACACTGTCACTCTGAAGACATATTCCACCGCTTAAAAGCATTTCAGCACAAACCTTCAAACAGCGCTCTGGAGAAGCATGTCTAAGTGCTGTCATTAGTTCTGTATTGATGGTATTATGTAGTTTGTTAAGCTCGGGGACTTTCCCAAATGCAGCAGGACCTTTTCCACACCCCTCTATTTACATATGAATATGTTGTGACAAGTGGAAACAGGTTGGAGAGGTCTTCATTAGGCCTAAATGTCTTTTGGTGAGCACAAGTTGAGAAAAAACCCTAAACTGGTTGGTTGGTAAGGAATCAAACCGCATCAGAAGATTTAGTGCTGAGTAAAGAGCTTAGCAACACACAGCAATAGATCACAGAGAGATACCTCTGTCAACAGAGAAAACTGAAGATAAACCTCGTCTGTTCTTCAGAAGTCAGCTGGGGGGGGGCGACTAAAAACAAAACGCCCTCCGAGGTACGTACCTTATCATCATCCTCATCCTCATCTTCCAAATCCATGCTGTGCTGAAAAAAGAAAACAAAAAGGCAATATGGAGGTGAAACGGGAGTGAGGTCAGCCCTGCAGGACAGCTGACCGCCAGGACTTTCTCTCAGCTTCACATGTCAGAGGAAAGAGCTCAAACTCATCGTTTAATAACTCATAAAAATAATTTAAAAAACGTGTTTAAAACAGAGAAAGTCTCAAATGTTTGTTTACGTTTAAGCAGCTATTCATGATTTCTTTACAAGAGATTTATGATTTGGGAAACCTTGAAAAATATCTTTAAATTAATCAAACGAACCAAGAAGCAACAGCTTTTAGCTTACAATTAAAGAAATATAAAGTGACGAAAGCAGCACATGAAATCATTTCCTGTTAAAGCGTAACATTTAAAAGGAAAGAATGAACAAAAAAGCATAAATCTTCATCATGAGCTGGTGAAACGTTTACACAGCTACAACATTTAGGGCCCTGGGAAGCTTTTAATCTGAAAAATAAATAATGTTGTGAGTTTATGAAAAGGCTGGTTTGTCTCCGTGTCCCCGTGTTGGACTTGAGACTTGTCCAGGGTGTCCTCCGCTTCTTGTACAGTGACTGCTATAGACATCAGCTCCCCAAAAACCCCCAAAGAGGGTAAACAAAAAATAAATGGATTATTATATTGCAGTGTTCTGTTTGATGATCATAAAGTTCACGGTTCAAGATTGCTGCAAAATTGGAGAAAAAAAGTTATCTGGCAATAACGTTTATACGAGATTAAATGTTTAACAAAGTAATTATTTCATCCAAATTTGATTTTTATTCATCACTGGAACATATATTTCAATGTTATTTAAAGCAATTTAATCCCCATGTTCTGACAGGATATAATTTGTATAATTATTTTATTGCGACTAAAGCTCGTCAAAACAGAACGACGGTTGTTTTGAGAGGTTTTGACAGATTTTTGAACAGAATGGTCCGTACTGTCTGAATGGTTTAATATGTTAAACTACATGTGAGGGCTGATTTTACACGTCAGAAACATAAAATGATCTCATGACAAACTCAGAGCGGTCAGAGGTGATTTAAAAAAAAAAAAAGTGCATACGGCCTTTTCTGGACCAAGCGCTAAACACTTTTTTCCCTACTTTGACTAATCAAAACAGGAGCTGAGCATCAGACCAATTACAGCGACGGCGAGGCAAGAAAAGAACTCAGAATTTGAAAAAAGCTGCACTAATAAAGAAAATGGATGGCAAATTAGCTTAGACTACAATGATCTGTTATATCATCTTATTCAGGGAGTTTTCTATGCCTTTGTGCTGCGTGTTATTTTATTATTATTATATATTATAAAACCGTGGGCAGCTGGTTGCTATGGTAACACACCAGCTTCTAATTATGAGCACAAAACGTGTCTGAGGTGGCTTAAAAAAAAAAAAAAAAAAAAAAAAAAATATATATATATATATATATATATACTGTATATATATATACATGTTTTTACAATAATTAAGAGCAGAGAAGCGTTCAGGAGGTGGCAGGCGGATAATGGAGAAGCTGCTCTGGACTCACCACGACCTGACTGACCCGTCCAGATCGGATCTGGAAGTAGTTCCACGTGATGAGTAGAACCAGGAAGGACGGCAGCATGTAAAACTCCCAGTGCCACACAGTCACGACAAAAACCTGCAGGCAGAGGTCACACGTTAGTATTAATCTCAAGGAGGGCGGGTGGGGAGGGGGTTCTGCAGGTCCCTTCTCAAAGCCCTGCCAGCTAATAGCTGATGTTATCTGCGTTGGTCAGGCTGATAAGAACAACCCTGACATTACTAAACGTGCCTCCACTCCTGCATATGGATCGACACGAGCCGCACATGTCCAAGAGCTTTTTCTCATCTTGTGTGTGTTAACGTTCAACACTTTGATTGCCACGAAGAGGCTGCGTGTCCATTTACCACCCAAAATACCTTATTTAGACCAGTCTAAAGCTGGTGACACTGTGGACCACGACATCTTATGCCATAAGCTCTCAGACATTGGTTTCTCAGATCACACTATCGGTTGGTGTTCTAATTATCCCTCAGATCAGAGGCAATGTGTTCAACATAATAGTACTTCTTCCAGTTATCCAACTATTAACAATGGTGTACCACAAGGCTCAGTCTTAGGTCCCACCCTCTTTACAATCTACATAAGTAATGTAGGTCAGATCATTCTTGATGCATCCTTACATTTCTGATGACGACACAGTTGTTTACTGTGGAGCTAGAACAGTTGCTAAGGTTTTACAGCTTTTACAGTCTGCATTCGACATCATCCAGACAGATTTGTTCCGTCTCAAACTGGTGACAATGCTAATAAAACCAAAGGAATGTTGTTTTCAAACAGGAAGTCGGTACCAGCAGTCCTTCCTTCTGTCTGATCTATAATGGTGTTCCTATCGAGTTTGTTGATTCTTACAAATACTTGGGAATCTTAGTTGATGTACAACTCTCTTTTAAGCCTCATGTCAAAAACTTAGTAAAGACATTGAAATTAAAATTGGGTTTCTTTTTCAGAAATTGATCCTGTCTAACTCTGAATGCTAGGAAACGCCTTGGAACTGCAACTTTCATTCCCTCCATTGACTATGGTGCCATTATTTACATGAACGCTCCTACAAGCACCCTGCAGATGTTGTACTCTGTCTATCATGGTACACTAAGATTCATAACTGGCTGTAACTACCGTACCATCACTGCACCCTGTATTCACTGGTTAACTGGTCATTAACTTCACACACTCTAACACTGGTACATTTTCTTTAAATCACTTCTTGGTCTGCTGCCCTCATATACGAATGCTTGTTGTTGTCTGTACCTCATCTGTGTTCTTTGTCTAAAACAGGTCTCTCTTGTAAATGAGTCCTCGTGACTCAATGAGACTAACCTGTATAAATAAAGGTTGAATGGAAATGTCACAAAATGCAGATTCCACTTGAATATGGTAAAACAGAATATGATCCGTGATATTTCAAATCCCCATCTGAGGCAAACTACAAGATAATATTTTCAGAGGGAAACTGCTTGAGCCAAAGTGGAAGTAAGCCAAAATGTTTCGGGAGAGGTTTACAGATTTTTTGTTTAATAAGCTAGTAAAAACAGAGGTGAACATCTGGAAAAGGCATCACTCTCCTCTGAGGCACCAGCCAACATAAAAGATATCAGATCTGACCGCCCCCGCCCACAGCCGCCTTCACCGTCAGCTTTAATGTGCAAACAGCCGAGCGCTCTCTTGTCCATGTTATCACAAGCCAAATCAGAGCCGGGAACCAGCTTCTTGCTGGCAGGGTTCTGGTTTATTAGTGAGGACTCTGTAACGCCTGCGAGATGGAGGGCCGCTGGGAAACACCGAGTCACGCTCTAGTGGAAATGTATACTCAGTCTGTAAAGGTTGTGATAATTGTAGCCCACTTCAACCTGAGAGGCATTACACAAGCTTCAGCAGCAAAACAGGGATTTGATTTAAGATCCAGATCCCAGAGAACCAAAAAAGGAACAAAGGCAACGTAGAAATGAAGGAGCCGCTGGAGGAGAGATTAGCAGAAAGCATCAAGATCAACCACAGGAACACTGGAGGGAAGGTCTCAGAAATCAGAGTTCAACACCAAGCGGGGCTGGAGTTCACACATTTATGCTTCTGACTCGAAAAAAGAACATTGATCAGTCTGAATCTAAAAGGAGCAACAAATATAACGTGGCTTTAATGCTCCAGTTGAGCAGAACCAGTAAACACGTGTGTAATGGGCTCAAAACACGTTACTAACAGGTTAAAGAAATTTACATTAATTTTACTCCCGTAGATATTTTATCCAAAGACGGGAACAAACAAAGCCACTTTTAACACATTTAACATGTCTCCAACTCTTTTAGCTTTCAGAATTTTAAATTTGCTCCTCTTTCAAACTCTACGAAGAGACCAGAGTGACAAAAAAACACCACGGACGAGAGAATATAAAGATGAAACTATGACGGGATAAAATTATGCAAAAATAGTTAAAATGTTTAAAAAATGTAAACAATCAAGTAATTTTATATTTTTATACATATCCATATATACATATTTTGGTTATCGTTTACTTAATTTCACTCTTGATTAAGTCACTTTTCAAGGTTTTCATTGAATTAATGTTTTTTTGTCGTTGTTTTTTTTACATTTCCCTCCATTTTCAACTTGGTTCTCCTGTCCAACTCCTCAGAGAGATATCCTAACCATTTAACTGCTTCTATCAGCTAAATATCTCATCCAGGATGGTCTTAAATCAATTTTATATACATCATTGTGTGACTGTTTATGAAGCATTCACACTATTGGGATCCGTTTCTCTTCCGTACGTTTTTCAGCATCTTTCTCATTCCAGAATTTTTGTTATTTCAACAAATCGTATATCAAAACGTTCAGCTTGTTCAGAAGGGTGATATGACTTTTGTTATTGGTGCAACTTTAGCTTTTTGAAATATTTAGCCTTTTCTGCCATTTTTTTCTCATAGAAAATGAACTGAGCTCATTTTACATCCTTCAGATCTTAAGATCTGTTTACAACCTTTTACTGCTCCTTTCACATTTTGTTCTTCAGCTTCTTTCAGCTTCCTTTTGCAAATTTAAACATTTTTCAGCTACTTTCAGTTAATTTCAGCTGTTTTTCTTCAGCTGTTTTGTGCTTCTTTTTGATGCTTTCTGCTAACTACAACCTTTTTGTGCTTCTTCTAACTTATTTTTGCTAATTTCAGCTTTTTATGCTCCTTTCAGCCTATTTCTACAAGTTTCAACTTTTGCTGCCATTTCAGCTAATATTTAGCAGTTTTTATGCTAATTTTAGCTTTTTCAGCTAATGCCACATTTTTAAGTGCATTTCAGCTCTTTCCACTTTCTTCTGGTACTTTAAGCTTCTTTGTCTTTTCGGCTAGTTTTCAGTAATATTTTGCTAATTTCAGTGTCTTTAGCTAATTTCCTAATTGTTTTTTTTTTTTTTGTTGCCAATTTCTACTTATTTAAACCCAATTCAGAAAATATGTGTTTTTTCCTGCTTTCTTCTGCTAATTTAGGCTTGTTCTTCCATTTCAGCTATATTTCAGCATGTTTAATAACAGTAGCTAATTTCAGCTGTTTTTCAACAAATAAGCATTCTGCATTTTTGCAGGAAATGTACATTTTCTAGTTTGTTTTAAATTTTTGTTTTTCCTGAAACTCCTACTGCTCCGTCCATCTCATTAGTTTGTATTGAATGCTTTGCAGAGAATTAAAGGAGTGACGGCAGAATATCCAGTTTTGAATGAAGTGTCAACATTTATGCTGATGTTCTTTTTTTTTTTTTGCACCAAACTTTCTTATTTTAAGTAGATTTTTCTTTTTGCTTCATTTATTCAGAGATCAGGCAAAGAAACAGGAGCCTAAGGAGGTAAATTACTCACAGATTCTTGTTAGAGAAAGGTGACAGTTTCAGAAGAGACAGATTATCAGTGCGAGCTTCACAGGGAGCCACATTTAGGTAAATGTTTCTATGCCGGTGTGAATTTTCACCGAATATATAACTCCTTCACTTAAACTTGGGTGGATTAGGTTATGGAAAAAGTAAAACTGGAGAAGTCAGGAGGTGCACCATGGAAATAAAACTACAGCTTTCTTCTGATTCTTATTAAATTATAGAAGCGAAAAGGTAAGCTGAAGATAATTTATGAATAATCTGATTTAGTTTAGCAGTCAGGAGATGACTAAAACTGCCAGATTCGAGGCATTTCACAGACTTTTGTGAAAGCGATGAAGGCAGATTCACAGCCCACTGTATCGACTCTTTGTGTGACAACCGGCAGATGGTGCAGGTGGTTCGTCACTGTATCCTGTCAAAAGAAAGTGAAGCTTTGATTCATTATGTCTGTGTGGTGGTATTAAGCAGCCATTTTTTTCCCCTTTCTCAGTGAGGCTTGAAAAGGCAGCGGGCATAGTGTGAAAACACGAGTACAGATGGTACTGTCTTTCAAACGCTGAGCTGCACTCATCGGATGAGCGTACTGTACGCTGCGAGCCTGCTCGTGCTTGTACGATTTCTGCTTTAGTGCGCTTAGGTAAAGCATCAACGGCTCATCCTGTTTGTGGCATGCAGGAGAGGAAAGTGCACTATTCAGAAATATGGAATATTTATAAAAAATAAATATTGCGTTTAAACACGGCTTAAACATTTCCCTAGAAAGATGCTGCTGATTAAAGCTCATGCTGACCTCTGACCTCTTCCTGGTTCAAGCTGTTTATGTTATTATAAAACTAAATGCATGGCTCAAATCAGATAACAGCTCCACTTCGACCACAGTTTTCACAGTAAACTGGGCCAGAAAAAAAAAAGTGTCTCTTTATGTGCCTTGAAGCAAAATTCTGCAGCAGACGGCAAAACTGTAGCGCCATCTACAGGACGAGATCTGTAAAGGCAGAAAGAACTTTCTATGACCTTGACTGCCTGAATAGTTAATAAAAAACTTGCTTTAAGCCATTTTCATCGAGTCCGATCAGTCGGAGTAACGACAAAAAGATCGACGCCACCTTCACTTTGCTGCTTAAAGTCCAGGCCTGAACGGCTGCTTTGATGTTTCTGTCTCTATCTTGTATTACACGAGATTCAGCCTCGTCGCAGACGAGCGTTTTAATTGAAATTCTGTCTGAATAATGGTCCAAATCAAACCGAGCACAGACTGGACAGAGGGTTAATGAGTTGTCAGGGAAGTTGAACAAAAATAGGCCATCTCATCTCCACTGGGACGCCACTCTCTCCAGCTGAGGCTTAACTCCACATCCAGGAGCCATGCAACACTGGAATCATCCACTCCAACCAAGAACCCGGACCAAGCCTGTGTTTGTGCTGAGCCCAGCGCTGCATTGATTAAGATTCTCTCTGGGAGAGTTCAAGTAGGGGTTGGCCAGACTGCAGTCCTCTTCTGCAGCCCTGGAGAAAAACAAGAGGGAAATGCAGATAGTGTGTTGATAAGCAGTTAAAGCACTTCACCAGGAAGGCTAGCAGGCTCCTCTGAACGCTCTCCCACTGGAAGCAGCTTTTGATGTACTGCAGAGTCGACATGATGGCTCCGTACACCGCTCTGACACGCGTCACGTTCCTGGCCAGAGCCTGAAATATAAAGACGACGAGCAACAACAAAAAAAAAGATAAACACTGCTGGACGTGTACGGAATTTGGTTACAGTAAGTCATTCTTAAAACAAGAGTGGGTGTCGTGAAATATTTGGCTAATAGGAAACATGAAGAAACATCAAGAAAGGCTGCATTTGGCACGAGTCATTGTGATCATGAAGCAAAAACCCAGATGAATGTCAGCAATCTGAACTGATTTTCGTCAAACAAGACCTCCAGCATTTAAACAGACGGAAAACCTGCATGTTACCAACTCAGTCTGTTAGCCAATTTAGGAGTTAGTTATTGTCTGACAACAATGAGTCTTTGTGGGAAGTACAGACAGTCAGGCACCCCGTATATCAAACTAATGTAGCAGAACAGTGAGCAGGAATTCACTCAGTCGGGCTCAATTAAAGCTCAGTTTAGTTAATTCAGGCAAACGTTCACTCTGGGGTAAAACACACCGACATGGATAAAATCAGTTTCTTCCCATTCATGTTTTTGTTTGAAGTTAGATTATTTTGAACATTAAGTACAAATTTCTTAAAGCTTACATGTTTTTCCCATTGTTGGTATTGAAAAACAGTTTCTTTACCCGTTTGTTTTGTTTATAAGTAAAAACGGTTTTAAAAATTGTTTTTACCGTCAGCAGCTTCCATAATTCATCTAAATGCATTTTTTCTGAGATGTTTGTTATTAAGCACAGAAAGCTGCAGGTGTTTACAGCTTTAAAGCTGGCAATAGAGAAAGTCTGGTATTTTTGATTAAAAGCTAAAACGGTTATCAAAACAAAATATTTTTAGCTCGACAGAACAAAACACTGACTTGTTATTTTGGCTTCAGTCGAGTTTCAAGTCCAGCGTCCTCGACTAAACAAAATGTGATGCACACGGTGTGTGCTGGCATTCAAATTTTAAAACGTTTTTTTTGAAGTTGTGTCAAACCTTTTTGGAAAATTTGGGGTTATCCTCCATGAATGCTCTCTCTTTTGGGTTGAAAGTTCTGATACTTGCTTTGACCTGTGAAAAGCAAGAAATCCACAAAGTGTCAGAATGGAGCGTGACCTCCTCGTGTCTTCCCTGCAGCTGAACCTTTACTTACAGGGTTAAAAATAACCTCCAGCTCCAGAGTGATGCTCCCTTTGGACAGCCTACCCAGGTCCTGCTTCTTCAGAGGGTAGACAGCCTGTTGTCCTCCGCGGATCTGCAGGACAGAAAGGGCATCAGGTGCTGAACTCAGCCATGAACCTGACCATCAGTCACGCCGGATTACATCTGAGAGAGTCCTCAGCCCGCTGAGGTGTTACCACCCTCTTCACTTTAATTTAGCCACAGAGTGTAAATAGACGAGTGTATTGTCGGCGTTTGTAGGTGTACCGAGAGCAGGGGGATGGCAACTTTCCCCAGAAAGTCTGGCGCCTTGTCTCCATCATCATCAAAGATGGTCACCATCAGAACGTCATGAATGTCTTTGACAGGGCTGCGGAGGAAACAAGGAAGTCAGGCGCTGACAAAACCAGCCCACAGTACAACATTAACATAATGATGCTGAGTGCTGATGCCAGTAGGAAAGAGAAACTAACAATGTAAAAACCTGGCCCCACTCTGGGTTCAGGCTCTTGTAGATCGTGTGGGTATGTAGTCTGTTGTTGCCCAGCTCCAACACGCAGAAAGGATCACTCTTACCTGCAGAACACAACACTTTAAACAAAAAGTACAAGTGACCGTTTGTATAAAAAATTATTCAAAGCAGAATCTGTGAATACCGTTTAAATCAGCAGCCATCAGATCTGTAGCCTTAAAAATTTTGACTTGAAGGAAACCAACATCGCTGACGTTCTTCAGGGACCTTTTAAGACTCTAATGAGACAAGAAGCACTCGGGGTGAGCTATAAAAGACACTAAAGAGAACACATACTTTACCAGCGCTCACACAAAAATTGGTCATTTTTATGAGTTCACACGGGCATCTGGATGGTTTTCTAAAAATGAAAATGGAAAATACAATTATTCTTGTTTTGGTGATAAACTGAATCAGAAGAAGTTTTGGTCTGAAGAGCAAAGATGTACTGAAGCTGAGTTTGATGAAGAGGCAGCAGGTTTAGAAAGTTGTCCCCTCTTCATAATGTGCCTGCGCTGCACAAACCTGTCAGGAAATCCAAACAAAAACTTTCTGTCTCATCAGATTCAAGTTACTGCATGTGAATTAATATTTTCCTGACATGAAGTCTGCCCTGCCTGTTGCACAAATCTAACATGTGAAAACTACTGCAGTGCTTTATCTGAAAGCTTTTCATAACAATGTTTAGGGCAAATTGTTATCAGGTGCTTTCTCCAAAACAGTATTTACAGCCCTCCTTCATCTGTAACTCAAGTCAAGTCAACTTTATTTATAAAGTACATTAAAACAGTAGCTGTTACCAAAGTGCTTAACAATAAAAATCAATGGGAGTAATTTAATGGAAAACAATAAAAATATAAGTAATAATAGTAATGAAAATTTATTAAAAGCATCAAAAGAAAAAACATAAAAACACAGAACAACAAAATACTAAATCAAATCACACTGTGTTAAAAGCCAGAGAAAACAGATGAGTTTTGAGCAGAGACTTAAAAACAGGAAGTGAAGTGGCCTGCCTAATGTTGGGGGGCAGATTGTTCCACAGTTTAGGGCCCATGACTGAAAAAGCCCGATCATCTCTAAGCTTCAAATTTGTTTTTGGAACTTAAAAATTTTGAAGCCATCCATGCCTTGATGTCAGGATGAATGGATCAAGAACTGTTATGTTTTAAGCGCAGATAAATCTAACAATCATCAGCATAACAATGAAATGAAAGACCATGTTTCCTCAGGACAGACCCCAAAGGGAACAGACAGAGTGAAAACAGAAGGGGTCCGAGAATCGAGCCCTGCGGGACCCCGCAGGAAAGTAGCACAGAAGCAGATACACTATTACCAACCTTAACACAAAATCTCCTGTCACTCAGATAGAGACAGAACCAATCTCACGCTGCACCTGTAATCCCAACCCAGTGTTTTAACCGCGATAAAAGGATACTGTGGTCAACAGTATCAAACATAAGGTCCAGGAGTACAAGCATCACAAACTGACCAGAATCATTTGCAGAATATTGTTACAAACCCTTACTAAGGTTTCGGTGCTGTGTAATAATTTAAAATCAGACTGAAAGATATTCTCATTAAAAAATGTGTTTCGTTGAATCAAAACAATTTTCTCCAGGATTTTAGAAAGAAAGGGAAGTTTTGAGATTGGTCTGAAGTTTGAGCAAGTTGAAGACTCAAGTCCTGGTTTTTTAATTAACGGATTTACTACTGCATGTTTAAAAGCAGCATGGACCACACTTGTGGCAATACTGCTATTTATAATAGCAAGAACAGAGGGTCCTGTGTAACTGTGTACTGCCTGGCTGCATGCTGGATCTGGTGTCTTCTTTAAAGCTTCAAGACAAAGGAGATGATTGTGGACTTCAGAAGGAACAAAAACATCTACACCCCCCTGAACATAAGAGGATCTGCGGTGGAAGTGGTCTCCAGCTACAAGTACTTGGGTGTACACATGAATGACAACCTCAGCTGGAGCAACAACACCACCAGCCTGATCAAGAAAGCTCATCAGAGACTCTACTTCCTCAGACGGCTGAGGCGAGCTGGTCTGGGAAGCTCAGTCCTCACCTCCTTCTACAGGTGTGCAGTGGAGAGCATCCTGTGCTCCAGCATCAATGTGTGGCATGGAGGCTGCACAGCTGCAGAAAGAAAAGCTTTGTAGAGAGTGGTGAAGGCTGCACAGAAATCTGTCGGAATCAGCCTCCCCACCATCACAGACATCTACACCTCCAGATGCAGGAAGAGGGCCACCTGCATCATGAAGGACCCCACTCACCCAGCACACACACTTTTTGCCCCACTCCCCTCAGGAAGGAGGTTAAGGAGCATTAAGTGTAGAACCACTAGACTGAGGAACAGCTTCTACCCTGAGGCTGTTAGACTCATGAATCTCTAACTAGAATAATCACTGTGAAAAACCATATCATGTTGCTGCTGATCTGTTTCATGTTGCTGCTGATCTGTTTTAATGTTGATGTGTTCATGCGTGCACATCTGCTCACAGACTCATGTTCATGTTTGTGCTGATGTTCAATGTTTTATGTTATGAGTGCTTAGTGTATATTTAGTTGATGTTTTTCTTAGATCATATCTTAGATGTTATTACTGTTTTTCTTATACATTTTATTGTTGGATGTAACTGGGACCCTGTGTACATAATTTCGCTCCACCACATGTACCACATGAGGTGCGAATGACAATAAAGAAACTCTGACTCTGACTCTCTCTGACTCTCTGACTGTTTCAGGCCCTGAACACATTAACAAGCAAGTGCCGCCATCTTTAGTTCCTTCAACTCACAACAGAGAAGCGGAAGAAGCAACGAGGAAAGTCTCCTTGAAGCTCAAGATTTACTCCTGAGTTCCTGTTTGTTTAGGAGACTTGTTATCTTGAAGTCAGAAAGAGTTGAAGATTTTCTATCAATGTTTAGAGTTCATGATAAGGAAAAATAAATAAATAAAAACACGCTCTGCTTGATATTAGCAATGTGCAGGAAATTAAAGTGCTTGTTTGAAGGTGCAGTGATGTAACCAGACAAGTGCAGATACTGACGTAATTATCCAGCTGGTTCTGACACTCGCGATGGTCATCGAGCGGTGCAGCGCCGAGTTCAGAGATGGAAACGCCGCTGCATGTGGTCAGTGTCACCAGGAAGACCAAGCTTCCTCTGAGCGGGTCCAGCCTGTACTTGAACAGATTCCTGGTATTGAAAGGGATCTCAGACAGGTTCACTTCACACCTGCACGAGGAATGGATGAAGCCAAGGTCATTATTATTATTCACTGCGAGCAGAATATCCACAAGTAAAAAAACAGAACGATCTGAAACGAGTTATTCATGATACAAAGATTCTGACAGGCTTCATCCTTAATGGTTCAGACTTCTACACATTTGCAAATTTAAATGAAATAAAACAAACTCAACAAAAGAACACAAAGAAAAACAAAAGCTCAGCATATTATTTATATTTACTCCAAATCGGTTTGAAAATATAAATTCAAATGATTTAGTAGTTGGTCAAAGACAATTTCATTTCAGGTCCACCGTTTTTTAGTAAAACATCTTAAAGGGATGTCAAAGTGTTTAGATTTTTTATTTATTTATTAATTTGCTGGAAAACTTTTCACTGTTCTAAAAGTCAAACCCCTCGTCTTATGACATACATTTTCTACAATTTATAAATTTTTTTCCTATATTGCCTGATATTTAAATCTATGTAATTATGTGCAGCCACAATTCAACCTAAACCTTTATTTATACACATTTAAAGGAAGAGGGGGTCAAGATGAAAAGAAAACTATGTTAATGTATGTTTGTTTGTTGATGTTTATCACATCCAGAAGGGACTTTAGGCTGACTGCACACTAACCCACAGGGAGTCGTGTTACCATGGAGACAGAAACGACAGTCCCAGTGGGCAGAGGAAACGATTTTAGCGTAAAGTTCTCAGGTAGACGTTAGATTTAGGTTAAATGTATGATTATAGGTGTTCAAGTGATACGCTGATGTCAACCATCGCTGGTAAGGGTTTTCATTAGTGAAGATTTGTGGTTTTTGAGACGAGTGGTTTTCTGGACTGGAATTGAACATGGACTGTAAGTGAGCCTTAATGTTTTTGGTGCAAGATATTCATGTGGGCAGGAGAAACATTGTGCATGAGGACACAGGTAGTTTATTTGTTTTGTCTGATGTGCAGAGTGACGGATCCTGGAGAGAGGAGCTAACAATTTTATCCACCACCAGGCACAGTGACGGAGCCAGAGAGGGAACAATGGTGGCTTTGGCCAACACAGATTAATCTTCCACCACCCCAATGCCCCCCCATCATTTGAGGAAACTATACTTTAAGCAATATAAGAACTAAAAAGCATTGTTTTCTCAAGTGATCTGGGTGGCCAGTTTGCATATATATACTTTATAAATGGTGGTGGCCATCTTGGATTTTGATGTAGCAACCCAATTGATGGTAGTGAACTTTCTCATGCCTAAATGTGGCTACACACCAAAATGGAAGTTGGTATGTCGTTTTCTGTTCAAGTCATCCAGCTTACAAGACAGACGAACGGAGGGTATTTCCAAGTCCCCACTTCGCTCCATGACAGGGGACAAAAAGTGTTAAATGTAGACCAACTATAGATAGCAACGTTTCCCTTAGGTCACTGGCCTTGGGAGGGCGCTCGTCTCTTCTGGGTTTTTGTCGACTGGGGGTGGAGGGTGAGAGAGAAGCGTAGTGCTATAGTAATGGCAGCAGTTGCTGATGGTAGAGGTAGAGATAGGGTAGAAGAGAAGTGGAGTGCTACATCTATCGTAGTGCTACGTTAGTGCCGGCATTTCTAAAAAAAGTGGGTGGGGGGTGCTACGCTTGTGTTGCGCATGGTTTGGAATCTGAGCTGAGCTGCTAAACTCTGCTCCCCGACCAGAAGTGGGGGGTTGGGGATTTGGTAGGTGGGGCGCTTGGTACTGTTGACAGGGCGGGGCGCCCTCCTTGGATAATGGTACAGGAAACACTGGATGTTCTGTCAACATGTTTATGCAGCAGTCCATCACAATATTTTTTTTTCCTCTCTTGTTACCGGGTTTATCAAAGAGAGCATAAAATAACAACTATTTCTCCTGATGCATGCTCAATAATCCAGGTAGAAAAATCCAAAAAGGACCAGATTGAACTTTTTTGAACAACTATTTCTCTTTCTTTGCTTCAGTGTTTTTATTTATGAAGGTTTGACATCTTTAGCAACTCAAACATGCAACCCTGCTTCCTCAGTCTGGGCCTCCAGGTTTGAAAATATGGATTCAGATTTGAAGCAAGAACGTACGAAACACCTCCAGTTCTGAAAACAATATCCAGGACGCCCATCTTTGTATTTATGAACTCCAGAACATGACACGTTCACTGCACTGCAGAGAATGGAAGTCAAAACGATGAACTTGCCTTTTGTTTTGTAAGATAAAACAGTATTGGGGTTTGCCGATTGTTCCAACAGTTGAGCCCTTTCCTCAGCTAAAGGCAGCTGGATTAATATTAAAACAGACTTAAAGAACTGTCTATTTGTTTGTACACATATTCAGACTAAAGTCTTCACTAGTTTTTATTTTGTTGATATAATTTTCATAATAAAACTGTACACATATGATTGGAGAATACTTCTAGAGACTCACATCCCCAAGCACTCCTCTGCCCTTCGTCCTTCTTTGGACCACAGCTCCACCTCCAGGATTTGAGAAACACTGACGAACAGATTCATGGTGAATCTTTCTCTCCACTGAGGGTTGGCCACTTTGCACTGATTCTGATTCAAATATAATATAAAACACAAAAAAGACAGTTTCATAAACATCTCCAATGATAACATAATTATCTGATTAAGTTTGTCTAATTGCTGTGAAATCACATTTTGGCCTACAGCAGCTTAGGGGTGAGGTGAAGAACTGGGACTTATTAATAGAGGGCAGCATGTCAGGATTTGGATCATTTTCTGACTGACTAGTGACTGAATATTTCTTAGAATGAGATAAAAGCAGTTCAGATGTGTAATACATAAAGTTACACAACAAGAAAGTACCCATCAGTTACAGCAACAACGGGTAATGTTACACATTAACACATTACACAGGTAAACTTGAATCAAAGTTTGGCATGAACTCTACTCTTAATAGCTTTCTTTTAAGGGAAGTACATTTTTTATTTCATTTTATGTTTATGCAAAATTATTTTACATGTGAAATTCAGACTTGATATTCTCAATATGATAATAAAAAATAAAAATCAGCCTTTAAGTTAATTGTTAATTCTGATCCAATTCTAAACTTAGTTTGTACAAATAAAGCCAGTTTCACAGTAACCAATGTGACGGTATCGTTTGCTGCTAAACTCACCTCCGTCTGCACACCAGCAGGCAAAGTGTTTTAATTAGATTTTATAGTTCAGAGATGCACTAGTGCTCAAAGTTTGTATGTACCGAAGAGATGTTTGCCTGTCACGTGAGAGGGAGCAGCTTTATTGCTTTATGTCTCATCATTCAGTTTTGAGAGTTCTGAGATTTGCTTCATTTCTTCTGGACAATTAAGTTTCAATCAAATCTGTTTCTTTCTGACAAGAAAACATCTTTCTTCACTGAGAGACTGTTGTTACAAATCCAACTAAAGTAAGATGGCTGCATCATGTCTAGTTGCTCAGTCAAGATTTTAACCGATATAAAATCGTCACTTTTAACCATCCACCTCACAGTTTTATCCTTCCTCTACAGTTGTCTCCATTATTGTTTCAGCTTGGCTCAAATATTGTCATATATTATTATCAAATATTATTTATTCACAAAATGTTATTGGATACATTTGTTTTTTTATAGTTGGGACTTTAAATGGTCATGCTTTCAGTGGAAAAAGTAATAAGGGAAAAAACAGCACAACTGGTTTACATCAAATCCACATTTGTTTATAAAAAAAACACTAACTGAAGCCAGATTTTTCTAAAATGACTTGAAGCTTTAGAATACAACCTTTTGTTAATAAGAGTACTGCAAACGCCACATTATACGCCTGTCGACAAACTATTATACAACAATTTATAGCAATGACCCAGACAAGCAAAGACCTTGTACAACCTTTGATCTTGATTTGTGACCTTGACCTTAAAGCTGGGGTGATGAAAATTATGTGACCCGCTGTCTGGTGGTAGTACAAATGTGAATTAAGTATTGTTAAATTATCTTGAGTGGATCAGTAGTTATGGCCCGGACAAGCAAAGATGTGATTTTACGTTTGACCTTGATTTGTGACCTTGACCTTGGAGCTGGGGTGATAAACGTGAACGTGACACTCCGTCTAGAGATGATGCATACGTGTATGAAGTTTCATTAAAATATCATGAGTAGATTAGAAGTTATGTACGGGACAAGAGCAAGTTTATGGACGTACGAAGACGTGTCCACCGGCCAACATGAAAGCTTTTGAGAAAAATAAAAGAATTAATTTTAGGGGGTAGGATTAAAATAAGGGCTCTGGGAGGAGGAGAGGGGGATGGGATAAACCACATGTGTTTTATTTGGCACCTTGCTTTTATACAGCTGCTCTCCCAGCCTGAAGCGAATGTAGAAGTAACCCGTCTGCGAGCACTGTGGCAGATCCCGACCTTCGATCAGCGTCACTGAGACGACAGACGTCCACAGCTGGCTCTTCCTCAGTGTGTCTGACAAACGAGAGCTCTGAGTCGGGTTTCCCTGGAAGAGAGGATTAGGAAGCAAACGAGACAAGGAGCCAAGAGAGAAGAAGGGGGAAAACATGGGCTTACAAATAATAAAATAAAAAAATCTATTTCTTTATAAAGCACAGAAACAGGACGTGAAGAACAGTGAGCCAATATACGAATAGCAACACGTTTTTAATAAGCAACATGCTTTTAACCTGAACATGCAACCTGATGCCGCTTTTTCTGTTCAACAATCCTCCAAACTCAGTGGGAGAAGTCCTGTTTTAGCACATGCACACACAGTTAATCCTTACAAAAAAGGTGAGGATGACAGTCAAACAGCCCAGCACTAATAGGACAAAATGCACAGCAAGCAGTGTTGTAAGCCAGACAACATGCGATCAGCAGCTGCTTTACCAGTTTAAAACCCCTCTTCATGGTGTAATCAGAACACACCTGTCAGACTTTTTCTTGAGCAACTCGAAGCTCCATTTTTTGCTAGCACTACAAATGTTACGGTCAGTTGTACCACTCTGCTTAAACTTGGTTGTTTCTATTAAAACTCAGGATTATATTTAAAATATTTAGCTTTTAATCCATCATTTAGCTCTGTGTTGCTGCTATTGTACAGACAAATAAAAATGGAGACAGAGTTGGACTTCCTGCTATTGCATAAGGAAATCTGGAGTGGCAGAAGTATGTTAGACTGGTACAGAACATGTATGAGGACAGCAGGACAGTGGTGAGATGTGCTGTAGGAGTGACAGATAGCTTCAAGGTGGAGGTGGGATGCATCAAGGATCAGTTCTGAGCCCCTTCTTGTTTGCTCTGGTGATGGACCGACTAACAGATGAGGTCAGACAGGAATCCCTGTGGACTATGATGTTTGCAGATGACAGTGACCTGTGGTGAGAACATGGAACAGGTGGAAGAGAACTTGGAGAGGTGGAGGTAAGCACTTGAAAGAAGAAGAATGAAAGTCAGCCGTAGTAAGACAGAGCATGTGTGTGAATGAAAGGGAGGCAGGTGGAACAGTGAGGCTACAAGGAGCAGAGGTCACAAAGGTGAAGGACTTCAAGTACTTGGGGTCAATTATCCAGGAAAATGGGGAATTTGGTAAAGAGGTGAAAAAGAGAGTCCAGGCAGGATGGAGTGGATGGATAAAAAATTTCGGAGTCATTTGAGACAAAAGGCTGTCAGCAAAGGTCAAAGGAAACGTTTACAAGACAGTGGTGAGACCAGCTATGTTGCATGGTGTGGAGACAGAGACATGGACAAAAAGACAGGAGACAGAACTGGAAGTGGCAGAAATGAAGATGTTGAGGTCCTTAGGTGTGACAGGGATGGATAAGATTAGGAATGAGATCATCAGTGGTACAGCACAGGTTGAACAAGTTAGAGAGGCCAGACTGAGATGGTTTGGACATGTCCAGAGGAGGGACAGTGAAAGCTGCCAGGAAAAAGACAAAGAGGAAGGCAAAAGAGAAGATATATGGATGCAGTTAGAGAGGACAGAGTGAGATGGAGGATGACTCACTGTTGCGACCCCCTGAATAAGGAAAAGCCAAAAGAAGAAGTTGGACTTCCTGCGTACTTGTGATATGCATTTGATACAATACATCCATGTCACAAGTCACCATGAAGACAATGTAGTGATTTTTACATTAATGTTGCTTTGTAAACGACTTATTCTGCTTAGTACCATTCAGAGAAACGTACATTTACAACATAACCTAAATTAATCTGATTGCTTTTTCAGAGATTTCATTCCACCAGACAAGCATTGGTTTTCTAAAATGTTTTTGCTGCCATCTTGTGACAACGAATGAAAACAGATTTAGATCAACAGATAACTGCCAAACATTGTAAGGAACTGTATTAAATTGAACTGACCAGAAAGAGATTAAATTCTCACCTGGTTATAAATCAAACGATGGATCACAGTCCATCTACAGTTGCATCGCTGATGCAACACTTCTCTCCCTTACATCTGGCAGATATCTGTATAACGCTGACGGAAATCATTGCTATTTAACGTCTGTCCAGTGTGTCCCCTCCACCATGGCTTACCCTACTACTTCGTTTTCGGAGCCACCTCTGCTGACAGGAGCATGCAAGTTAGGTGCAAAACAAAATGACACTGTTTAGTCAGCTATAGACGAACACTGCAAACACAATGACAGACACAATGAAAAGCAAGTCAACACTCTTTCAGTTGAACTTACATACCAGGATATGATAAAAACTGGTTAGTGAAAATGAGATGGATACAATCATGGCTGAGCAACGACGCATGGCAGACTGCATTGTGTCGTCATTTTACAGGAAATTAGGCAAAATGCAGACGCGTGCACCATGACCACTGTTAGCAGCAATAACTTCAAGTAGTCAACTTCTGTGTGACCTTTCAGGTATTTCACGTTTTGGAAAGAATTATGGCAGGTCTCGTGGCTGCAAAACAAACCCAGATCATCAACTATTCAACTAACCTCCCTAAGCATTTTTGAATTTACCAATTTATTTGAGCATTGCCAACATTTCTCCTCTTGTGGAGGTGCTCACACTGGCTGACAATCAGATGTTATCAGTTTAATTAGCAGCAGCTCTTATTGTGAAGACTGCCTTTCCCTTTGTTCAAACTGTTTCTGCATTTTAGTGTAGCTGTTAAAACAAAGGGCCGTGTCAAATTTGTTGTGTGCTGCTCAGCTGTTCGTATCCACTCGATTTGATTTCTTCTACTACATCCTGATACGTCTAGCCTTCAAACAGAGTGAACTTTCTTTTCATCATGACTTCAAATTCATTGCAAAACTGATATTTTTACTGCTGCGACACATGCAGTGAGAACAGTTTAGGTTTCCCATACAATGCCTTTCTTGCTGTCTCCATTTCTGAGTGTCAGCCTCAGGTCCACCAACACGAAGCCCATTTGCTCTTCCAGAGTGTTTTCGTCTTTCAGCGGCAAAGACCGCTCATGGAGCCTGAGGAAAGGTGGATTAAAGGCGCCTTTTATCTTAAACAGACATGGACTCTAGTGCCATAACAAATTCAATACAGCATTCACCGAACGCCACCAAGAGGCTCCAACATCACTGAGTCCTTTTAAACTCTTTATTGTCCCCACAGATGAGCATTTTGTTGCGTACATACAAAATTATAAGGTGGAGTTACTGCCCACCAGGGGGCGCTAGATATATGTGGTTCAACAATACAGAAACAACTCACTAACAAGAAATGAAAACAATATTTTTCTATTTTTTACTGGGGGTGAGTACCGGCCAGTGTATTTGCTCCACACAAACAGTGTTTCCTTTGCCTGCACCAATAAAGGTTTACGATCGTACTGACCTGTCAGTCTCCAGGTCACTCAAGCAGATGAAGTTAGAGCCCATAAAGTCATCAGAGGTCAGATCACGGTCGTATACCTGCGTCACATCAAACAGCAGACTGTTATAGTGCGTTACAGAGGAAGTCACGGTGAGGAACGACAGTAACTGTAAAATCTCTCCACATTCAGCTACACTTGAGTATTGATTTACAGTAGATAGCACAACAGATTTGTTATAACACAAATACAATTCCTTCATAAAACTTTTAAACACTTGTTTCACAAAATAGTTAATTTCCCAACAGATGCAAAGTGTTTCCTTATCAGAGGCTTTGAAACAAAGTGTGTAATCATGGAAATTCTCCCAAAACCAACAAGCTTGGCAAGACGGGACAAAAAACTTTTACAAAAACACGACCTGATGATCAGTTTGTGACAGGGAAGTTACCTTGATGTACAGTTTCTGATTCAGGTCTTTCACGGGTAAGGAGAACGACTCGTTCCATGTGGGGTTCAGGTTTTTGTAAACCACCTTGCTTTTGTAGATTGTTTTTCCATCCAACTTGAACTTTACATAAGGATCGCTGGTGCCTGATGAACAGAAATAAAACTTTATTTATTTATTCTGGTCCAATTGAGGATGGATTTTGTGAAAGAACTCCACCGGGACTCACAGTTATTGATATTATTAATTGATTAATAACTGGATGCTGCCTCTGCTAATCAGACAAAAAGGCTGAACCTATTTTTACTGTATAAATGACTAAAAAGTCATAACCTACAAGATTCTTGCTAATTCATTAAACTAGCTGTTTTGGGCTCTAATTGTCAGCAGGATCACGTCTTTTCTAATGGTCAATGTGAGAAACGAGCCTAAAATCTTATTTTTAAACCAGCCTAACAGCCACTGGTTTAAGCTTTATGGGAACGTTGTTGGTTTCCAGTAAATGAGGAGGCGTGTGACCCTCGCATATCATCATCTATAACGTTGCTGTGGAGGATGTGGCTTTTTTTTTCCTCCCCAGGGGAGAATGACCACAACTTCCTGAATCAAAAACCAACAAAATTTCAAGGTGCGTGTCAACAAATGACAGCAGATTCAGTTCAACAGTTTGACTTGCAGTGAAAATAGCTAAAATAAAATAAAATGCACCATATCTATATATATATATATAT